TAACCAATGTCTGCGGTTTTCATTTTTCCGCCCGTTCACAGCTACTTCAGGTTGCGCATTCGTTTCTTTCAGCCTTTTTAGCCTATTTAAACAAGCTAACAGGGTAAATGTATATTCTAACTTCTGCTGTCGGAAATCAGCTATCTAGCAGCTTCATTAACTCCAACTCATAAAACCTCCTTTTAACAACGTTCGCATATAACAATAGCCCTTGCTTCCAGTTTTTCGAGTGGGACAAATACCCGATCGTTGCCTCCTGTTTTTGAGTAGGGCCACATCCTCGATCCTCGTCTGAAACTATGCCGTAAAAAGGGCATTTCAAGACGAGGGAGGTTCTGGCACACCGGCGTTAAATACCGCGCGTAAAATTAATCAGTAGCGCACCTGTGTCAAATATAATCCTTGCAATCCTCATAAACCATATGTGATCGACCATAATGATATCTTCTACTCCAGAAAAAGACATAAGCCGGCTTTTTAGGTGGGGCTGGGTGACCGCTATGTCGTCCTTAACCACTCCTCTGCAGCAAATACCTGTAGAATTTTGTGCGCGCATAGGGCGTTTATACAGCCACTAAATCTCCCTTGGCCGAAGACTAACTCATCGTGCGTTTTCACATATCCTACGACGTCGCGCTACACTGACGACGCAGCGACTTGAGCTAATTTTCGGACTCCCTCTTCGTCTCCTCTGTGACCCCTTGATCTCTAAACTTCCTCTTCCCCCTTACTTACTGTTGATTGGATGCTTAAACATCTGTTACTCTAACCCCCCTCATATTATTTTAATTGCCTAATGATGAATAATTAAAAAAGTACGTTTGCCAAACTTGACTTTCATAATGCTTTCCCCTTCTCTTTACTCAAACTCCTAGCTTCAACAGAGTCCACCTGGGAGTGGCCATTCGAACAGATTTCAGATCTGAATTTTATTGGCTCTGGTGCCCAGGGCGTTGTCTTCCGTGGCATTCTCAATGGCCAACCAATCGCTGTAAAGAAGGTTCAGAAGCAAGCGGAGACGGACATTCGGCATCTTCGGAACCTGCGGCATCCAAACATTGTTCGTTTCATGTAAGCCAGAGTGTTTTTATCTCCTAAATTGCTTTTGGTCAGTTTATTCAAAGTAACTGCTCCTGCATAGCCCTGCAAGGGTACAGATTCCTACGGCAATTGACTCTTTTTTCTATACAAGATTATTGTACGTGTGTATTAAAAGGTGAGCATCCGAGGATATTTAATCAGAGGGGGAAGAGTTCTTTGGGAAGCTAAAACTTTCATGCGTAGATTTTTGAGGCTGGTCCTCCAGCTCGTCGTCAGACTATGGGGTGTGTACAGAAAGAATTAAATGAATTAACCGCGCCCAACAAAGTATTCTATGGTTGGATGGCATCTGTGTCAATAGGCGGTACGTGCATTTTGTTATCCTGTTGTGGTTGAACGTGCGCATTGAACTTTGTCCTTGATAAATTTGTATCCGACATCTAAATCGATAGGCCGATCGACGCATGCCTCGTCTACGTGCATGTCTCGCAGAAGGTCACGGCTTTTTCTGATTGGGCAAATGCCAACAATCCATGTGTTCTCCCAAGGAAGGTATATTTGTGAATAAATATGTGTTTTGAAGAATTGAACAAGTTTGCTGACTAACCAATTGTGTAAAACTCGTCGCCCTCGATGGGACTCTAACCCAGGACAGCAATGTGGGAATTTGAATTCAACTCACGCTCTTACCGTCTTAGCTACAAGATCTACTTCTCAAGAACCTCGAGGGTTTTGCGCGTTTGGGCCACGTTAACCAAATGCGTGGTCATGTATATGTTCGAGGTAGAAGTTTCGGACAGGAACTGCAGAAAAGAATTCGAGGTGACTGGGACCGCCAACACCGTCAGCTAACGTTTCAAGGTCTCGACTGAACCCAAACATCAAAACCTCCCACGTTTACCTCAACGTACAACTCTTTGTATCATGCTATCAGCCGGCTGACAGCGAGAAGATAAAATGACGTTCTATCGATAGAAAGAAACATGTTGAACATTTCTAACAGCCGCTTTTTAAGTACTCGACGAATAAGCCCTAGCAAAAAGAAATAACAGTTCGGCTTAACTAAGCCAGGATATCTTACGCCCTGACAGCGGTGGCCAGTACGCTTGTCAAAACAGGCTGCCCACGTGCACAGTTGCTGTGAAAAAGGTTGCTTTATCTATGCTGGATAGTTTTTTGGCTGGTCTACAGCGCATGTCCTGGGTGTTCTCCTTTTTTGCATCCTTATAGGTCGCTGACCACTGGTAACACGTTTATTTCCTCTAGAAATAGGGAGGAAAGCTGTTAGATCGTTTTTTTCGTCTCAACTTTCGAACTCTTACCGGAATACATCAG